GGAGGGGTTCCGGCAAGGGGGGGGGGATTTTCGGAGGGGGGGGGGGGGGAGGACCCCCGGGTTCCGGAGGAAAAGGTTGGCAATTTTCCACAGTAAAGCGGCGGTGGATCACGCTCTCTCTCTCTTCTCTCTCTTCTCTCTCTCTCTCTCTTTATATATATATATATATATACATACATATATGTACACGTATACACATCCATGCTTGTACACATACGCGCATGTACATATACACATAGGTATATATGGGTATATATATATATACACACGCACGCACGTGCATGCATTGGTGATGAATGTGCGGGTGCGCGGGTGCGCAGGGGGTGGTTCCTGAGCGCAGCGCCCAGTAATTTGCTCCTGAACGCGGAGCGCCAGGGCGGTCGCGGGGATGTCCTTGGTTGTCTGGTTTGCCCCGTCTTTTTTTTTTGGGGGGGGGGGGGTATTTTTACACACACACACACATATGCATTGAAGCGCTGGGAAGACGTTCCCCATACTTTGTTGTTTTACATGTGTTTAATCATCACGTCTTCGCATTGTATTCTCACTCCGCGCCCTCGACACTCAGGAGCCGCGCTCTCGCTTGGGCCTATGTCACAATTTACTTGGGAATCGCTCTATCGCTCGAGACTTCCTCGCGATTCATGCAGGACGCACCCTACAGCAACCCGCCTGCTCGACCTGGCCGCCTGGGCCCGCCTTCCCGACCCGCCTGTAAGGGTCTACCCGCCCGATCTCCCCGTCTGGTCCTGCAATGTGTTTTCTGCTCCGAGCCCCCCTCCTGCTACTCTCTCTCTCTCTCTTGTGCTCCATCCTCCTCCCTCCCCCTTGTCCCTTTCTTCCATCCGTCCTCTCCTCCCCTTTTTCAGCCAAAAGCAACCCTCGCGGCCATGCCTTGCTGTTATATCCTCTGGTGTGTTGTCTTCTAGCTGTCCATTCGTCTCCGCTCCTCAGCAGTTGGATGCTGTCAGCTAGCCGTGAGCCGGCCCGGAGGATAACATTAAAACTATGTAGTTGTGCGTTTGGCTCGAGCAAAGCTTGCCGGTCCAGCCGGGCAAGATAGTGGGAGAGCAGGGGGGGAGGGGCAAATGAGTGCCAAGGCACGCGGGTACAGCATCGGACGAAGTCCTGACGTGGGCGGGGGCGGGGCGAACCAAAACCCCCCAGGGGCCCGAGGGGGCCCGAAGAGGAAGGGAAGTGGGGATGGGGGCGGGCGCAGAACAGAGAAACGCCGCCCAGGAGGCGTCAACTTGCCGACCTGGCTTGTCCACGCGGCGCCCAGTTCAGGTACACGTGACGGCCAGGGGCGTCTGGCGGCACGTTGTTTGCCATTCTGTCCATTAGCATGTTGCATCCCGAATCCGCATCCACGTTGAGGTCACGGTACACATGGTCTATGCTCACTTCGAACACGGATGGGAGACGGCGTAGCCTTTCAAGCATCGGCATCGCCAAAGCTTGCTCTTAGGCTGGTCGCAATGCAATTGATGCACACTTCCTTTCGTATCTCAGCTGCCGGGCCACCAAGAGCAAAATCTAACAAGAAACGAAACGAATTCTCGGGACAGGGTTCTCGATGGCGTGGTTAACAGAAGGTAGCACCCCTGCATATTCTGTCTCGTTGTTCATTGCGTCCCGGAGAAACATGCCACAACAAGCGGCTACGCGTCTCTCACCAGCGTGAAAGAAGACGCTGCCACAGGATGATTGGCGTTGCCCTGTTGCACCTTGTTAACAAGCAGCCCCGATTAAGGCATAGATCGTCCACCTGGGAGCAAAGTCGGGCGCGATGCTTGCTCTAAATCCGCGCCTTTCCGAACGCGTGCGCTCATGGGGGCTGCCCGCAAGCAACGGGTCGTCACTGAGACGCTGCACGTGGGGAATCACATCATCATATGTCAGTGCGGCCCTGCAACAGTAATCGACGTAGCCGCGCTACGGCGCTGGTGGCCGCCGACACCTGCGGGAGGCCTGAACCTCTGCCAGTGACCTCCTGCAGCCACAACTGCGGGATTGTCAACCTGGCGTGATCTGGAAACGAGTCCTGCTAGCAAAGGACGCACGACAGTGCACGAGTCGCGGTGAGCGACTGAGTCATTGCCAGGTGACTGGCAAAAAGGGCATGGCGACACATCCCTGCCAGACATGGGGGCCATCCGATGCGTTGTCATTTCTCCATGCAGTACCCTGCGCATGAAAGCGATGCGGTGCTCGCCCGGGACACTGGACGGCATGCCGGGCAGAGCAGGCTGCACCGGCTGCCACTGCAGCCCCGCGGGGGGCAAGCCGAGCTTCCACCGTGTGTCTCGCCACTGGAAGTGCAGCTGCATGCATCTTCTGGCATAACAAACGGTAAATGCTGAAGCTGGGGGCGCTCCCTCGCGCTCGATTCCGGGCTTCGGCCATGACCTCCGTCACCGTGCAACTCGTACTAGCATGCAGCGCACGATGCGCCATAGCAGAAGAAGTTAAGGGCCTCAGCTCGCTCGCGTTCCCAACAGTGCGCGCCCAGGATACAAACTGAGACATATCCAAGCATCCCGCCCTCTCCATTCTCAACGCAGCAGAGCGAAGAT